TGCACCGTGAATGCGCCCAGCACCATGGAGCGGACACCTTGGACCAGAGAGACCTCCCTCTCCCCAAGCCCACCAATGGCTGTCTCTGTCGCTCAGGCTTCGAGACTTCGCGCCACACCCTGGGGATGTAACTGCAGGAATTCACCTCCTCCCAGTCCTGGAGGCTGGGGGTGGGCAGGGTCAGGGTGGCACCAAAGGCTGGTTTTTGTGACAGTGTTCTCTGTGGCTCAGAGGTCGGGGCCTTCCCCGCTGAGTCTCTGTGTGTGTGTGTGTGTGTGTGTGTGTGTGTGTCCTTTTTAACAGGCCTCGGTCCTGTTAGACTAGAGCCCCACCCTTATGACCTCATGTGACCCTAATCACCCCCTAAAGTCACCGAGGGTGAGGGCTGCCACGAGGGGATGGGATTCAGTCCCCAGGACTCGCTCTTCTCGGTGATTGTTCTGAGGGTTTGGACGGGCGTGTAAGGCGAGCGCCCACCGCTTTGCACCGCTCGGAGGAGCTTCACCGCCCCGAGCGCCCCCGTGCACTGCCGGTTCGTACCTCCCTCCTCACCATCTCCACGGTTTTGCTGTAGACTCGGAATCACACAGGCTGGAGCCTTTCACGGTTGCCTTATTCCAGGCAGTCACAGGCATTGAAGGTCCCTGGGCGTCTTTTCATGGCTGGAGGGCCCATTTCCTCTAAGCACTGACTGGTACTCGATATCTGGAGGCCCCGGGGGTGTTCACCGTCACCTGCTGACGGGCGTCCTGGCTGCCTAGGAGCTTTGGAGATTGTGAATAAAGCTGCAGGGACCAGGCGTGTGCAGGGTGTGTGGGGGCAGGGTGTGTGTGGGCGTGTGCGGGTACCGGGCGGCACAGTTGCAGTCAAGTTTCACCACTGAGCTGCGGACAGTGTTCCTTCGCAGGAGCTGGCTGTCAGCTCCTTCCCGGGGTGGCCGAGGCAGCTCCTTCGTAGCAAATTTGCGGCTCCGCTACTGTTCTCCAGCGTCTCCAGCAGCTGCAGCGGCGGCCTCCAGCTCCGGATGATGGAGCCAGAGACGGAGCCACGGCTTCCTGCCGCTGCCCACAGGGAGTCACTGAGTCGGGGCCGGCAGGCTGGGGTGGAGGCAGGGTCAGTACGTACTGTGTCTGCATTCTCAAGAGTCGGGGGGATGGGAGGGGCCTGCAGCGTGGCTCATGGAGGGGCCCCCAGGTCATGCAGGCTGCTGGCTAGTCGCCAGCTCTGTGCCCCTGCCTGAGCAGGGGGTCTCGCCCTCTCTGTGCCTAGGTTTCCTCATTGGTAAAACCGGTCTGGTAGCTCACCATGAACGTGCAGGTGGATGATGTAATGCATGGAAGTGATCTCCTCGTGCCTGGTGGACAGGACGCAGTCACGCCGTGTATTTATAAATCTAGCTCGTCAGGTTGGGGCAGCACAGGGGGCTGATTGGAAGCCACACCTACTCCCGGTCATGAAAAGCAGTGAGTGAGAGAGTTAATACAGGGATTCCGCCCAGTGCCTGGGAGACGCAGGCTGTGGAGCTGTGTTTGGGGGCGATGTGTTTGTGGGGGCTGAGCCCCGTGGGCTTTGGCGGTGCGTGGAGCCGGGGGGGGGGGGAGATGGAGACCCCGGGGGGGTCATCAGGCGTCATTGTGGCTGAAGCACCCTGCAAGGCGGGAGCAAGCCCAGACCACTGCGTCCCCGCACTCCTGTCCGGGGTCCCGATGTAGTAGGTGTGTGCCAGCGTGTCACCCGCCACGCTGGGGCTGCTGTGTGGGGGGGAGCACACGCCGAGGACCACTGACAGACCTCCTGTCCCAGAGACTTGGGCACGAGGGCCTCTGAGGGAGCAGGGACAATTTTCCAAACACCAGGGACTGGGTGTGGGGGGTCCAGACACGGGGTGAGGGAGGGGCTGGGGAGCAAACCTGGGTGACACTCAGCTGGCCTTCGGAGAGCAGGGCCTTTTTGGAGGAGGTCATGGGGGGACAGGTCAGTTGCTTTGTCGTCCTTTACTTTCTTTGAAGGCATGAAGGTGAGAGGAGGGGACCCACCGAAGCCCACAGCCCTGCACCCGGGGGACCGGGTGGGTCTGCCCTGTAGGAACCAGTGGGCCGCCCCTCCATGGCAGGTCTCACTCCCTGGAGTCCGCACACCTCTCCTGTCCCCATGCACACCCCCAGCCCCAGCTGAATAAGCCGCGCGCCTTGTAAACATTTTGAGTTGCTTAGATTGAATAATACTTATAATTGACCAGATGTGCTTAAAATAGTGGGTTATTTCATGTGACTTGACATTCACATCGGGAAAACAAAGGCTTCCTTTCTGCGGTGGTGCATTGTGGTTCTCTCAGCAAATTCCCATTCCCAGTCCGCAGCTGCTCGGGGTTCGCAGGGCCACACTCCGTCTGTCCCATGCGGGGCGGTCCGTGACGGACTTAAACAACATGCGCTATTTTTTGGTAAAATATGACCTATTGTCGGCAGTGTTTGAGTCACAATTTTGAGCGCACCTCGGAGGGGGTCTGCCCTGCAGGGGGACGGTCACAGGGAAGTTGGGATCTGACGCCCCCGGACAGAAACTCGCAGCTGGCCCCGGGGGCGAGGGGCTGCAGGGACGGGTGCCAAGGGCAGTGGGAGGCCACCCAGTCTCCAGGGCCAGTGGAAACCAAGAAAGGAAGCCAGAGGTCAAGTCTGCAGGCCGGGCCAGGGGTCACGCCTTCGGGGAGCCGTAAACAGGAAAAGGGGCCCAGGGGAGGGACGCGGGGAGGGGTGGGAGCTGCCCTGGGAGGGAAGATGGAGCAGGACCCTGGCGGAGAGAGACAGCGCTTGGGGGAGGGACCATGAGGTGGGTGGGCTTCACGGACCCCCTGCGGAAGGGGCGAGCCCTAGTCTCTGCCCTTCTGAAACACATCCGGGGGCAGTGTCCTGACTTGGACCCCCGAGGGTGAAGCACCGGGCTTCAGGAGGCTGTTTTGCTTCTTCCAGAGAGCACGGCCATCAGCTTCAACCGCCTCAAAAACTGAGCTTATCGTGGGGTCCCTCCTCTCCTGGGTCCTTGTCAGCTCCCGTCCCTGGCCTTAGTCCCGACACATAACAATGGCTGGTCCTTTCCAAGCAGCTGATAGGTCCCGGGGATGTTAAGTGTGTCTCGTTCACCACAAGTGCATGTCGGGAGTGGCGGAGGGTGGATGAGTTTTCACAGGAGGGGAGAGGCTGTCACTCATAGAGGTTCCATAATTTCTCCAAGTGTCCGCGCAAGGGCCTGAACCCAGGTCTGCGTGGTTCCAGAGAGTGCCATCCTTTGCCCACAGACGCTGCTCCTGGGGCCTCACCTGACCCCAGGGCTGTTCAATGGACGGGACAGCCCCCTCCCCCCAGCTCTCAGTGGGGAGCCAGTGAGCAGCCGCTGCCCCCTGGGGGCCACTTCCAGTCCTGTGTGTCTTCTGAAGCCATCGGGAAGCCGCCTTGCTTCCGGTGCAGGGGGGCACCCTTGTTAGGGCTGGCTCCCGCCGCTCACCAAAGCCAACTGTCACCCAGACCCCTCACAACGTCGTCCCCCCATACCTCAAAACCAAACCAACACAAAACCATAGTTGTCGCTCTGTGCACCGAGCCTTCAGAGATGTCACTGAAAACAAATGACTAGGGATTAAAACAGAGAAAAGATGCACACAAAGGACCGTGAGCCCAGCATCCAGGGGGCTCCTGTGGTGCCTAAGAGAACAGGAGTCACCAGAACAGGCCCGAGGTGTGGAGGGGCGAAGCCAGTGGAACGCAGTCGGCGGGTGAGACGTGTTGCCCCCGGGCCCCCGGCCCCCCCAGATCACAGGGTGCCCCCGGGTCGGCCCAGTGTTTGTTGTTGTTATGCCTAATAATGAGGCTTGTTCACATAGTCTGGAAGGTTCCAACCAATGCAAACTTTGCCTGAAGTTGTGTCAAAGAGCCATTTGCTGAGAACTGGAAGTGTGCTGACCTTGGACTAAGTTGCCCAGGCAGTGACGCACCCGGTGGGGCCGGAGGGCGGGCGGGGGGCGGGGGGCAGCTGAGCCCGGGCTTCCTTCTGTTCCCGCTCTGCTGGGGACGGGATTACAGTTGCACATTTACAACCAACTGTCAGAGGTCCGCCGCCTGAGAAGGGTGGGCACAGACCCTGACACCCACCTTCCCTGGAGCTTTTGGGAGCAGGGTTGTGTGGGGGAAATGCTGGGATTTGGGGGGGGGCTGTTGCTCCCGGGAGGGGGGGCTGATGGGAGAGTCGGCAGACTCTCCCCACGCTCCCTCCCGCCCTCTGTTCTGGGGTCACCGGTCCCAGGGCGTAGCCTTCCTCTCCTGCTGCACCCTGAGGTTTCTGGTGGGGAGACCATGTGTCCTCCGGGCAGGGAGGGCAGGCACAGACCCTTTGCTCTCAAGTGTCCTTGGTTAGGGCCGCTGAGGTCTTGCGTTTTACCAGCGGACGGACCGCAAGCTGCCCAAGCTGTTTGGCCTTGGAGTGTCTCGCCTCAGTTCCCCGCACCACTCGCCCAGAGGTTTGCCTTCTTACGCCCTGTCTCCCCTGATGGAGACCGGGCTGCCCTGCCCGCCGCCAGTCCGTGCCCTGAACGCTGACCTCCACCTTGCTGTGGTTCACCGACAGACCCAGTTGGAGACCAGCCTGGTCGCCCCCACAAGGGCTCCAACAACAGCTCTGCCAAGGTTTTGCTCTCCTGGGTGCTTGGCGAGTGGGAGATGGCCTCCTCAGTAGGCCTCGGAGGGATGGACGGGAGGGTGGAGACTGGGCAACGCCTTTTGAAATTTGGAGATCACTATCAATGTGGGGAAGGAGTCACCCACACACCCAGGCCAGGGGACTGTGGCTAAGACTTCTCAGAGGACCCCAGTGAGTCCCCTGAAACCCTGGCCCGTCCACAGCCACTCGGCCCCCACCCGCCCCGCTTCCTGCGGCAGGGGCGGCCCTGACCACCCCAGTTCCACGGAGGAGCGAGCATCTGTCCCACGGCCCGACTTCTCTCGTTGCAGGCTGCCCGGCCATGACCACGGCGTGGTACCGGCCCACGTGGGACCTGGCCCTGGACCCGCTGGTGTCCTGCAAGCTGTGTCTCGGCGAGTACCCGCTCGAGCAGATGACGACCCTGGCCCAGTGCCGCTGCACCTTCTGTACCCTGGTGGGCGTCTTGGGAGGAAGCTCCGGTTGAAAAGACTGTCGGGACGAGGCTTTGCTTTCGCGTCTACAGACACCAAGCCTGTGACCTCGCTTGTGCGGGCGGCAGGTCTCCCTTCCCGGGCTTGCCCGTGCTGGTTGATGGGAGGGGCTCCCTGGGTTGCACCCCCCCACCCCTGGGGAAATTCTGCCACAGGTGCCCCTGGTGCAGAGGCTGTGGGTTCCGCAGTCCCCTCGGAGCTGGGGGGCGATGCTGCCACGGCCCGCGGCCCGCTGTCCGGAGAGGAGGGCCCGGCCGTGCCTCCTGTAACGGCCGAGTGCTGGGTTCTAACAGCGCTCGCCCAGTGAGGCTGCGCCGCTGGTCTATGGAGCCGCACTGTCTGCTCACCCTGGTCTGCGGCTGACCTAGACTGTGTTCCTCCTGCCGTCACAGTCAAGTTTTCTTACCAGGGAACCTAATCTGGGGCCCAGTGATCTGCTGGTGACCGCGGCAGGGACTTGTTCTCTCGGGCCCGACTCCGACCCAGTGCCGACTCGGAGAGGGAAAAGGAGGGGGTTGGGTTTATTTTCGGTTCAGCTTATTTAACTTTTCTTTCCATTCAAGGAACATTTTAAAAAGTACTAAAGAGAACCACTTAAAAAAAGATTTTATTTATTTATTTTTAGAGAGAGGAAGGGAGAGGGAAAGAGAGGAATAGAAACATTGGTGTGTGGTGGTCTCTTGTGTGCCCCCTACTGGGGACCTGGCCCACAACCCAGGCCTGTGCCCTGACTGGGAATGGAACCGGTGACCTTTTGCTTCACAGGCCAGTGCTCAATCGATTGAGCCACACCACCCAGGGCGAACTGCTTTCTTTAAACTTAAAAATGCCCAAAACGTCACAGTTGTGACCAGGCCGGCCGCCTGTATGGGCATGTGCATCCCGACCGTCCGTCTTCCTGCCGTGAGACGTGCTCTCCACTCCTGCCCGTGTGTCACGGAGATAATTTCTCGTGTCTCATGGTCTCCTTGGGACGTAGGCCCCTTCAGCGTCATCATCTCCGTTTCACAAACAAGGCCACGGGGCTTTGGGAACGTTCACATGTCCGAGTTCTGCCTGCGTCCGGCTCGGCGTTCTGCGGGGCAGAATCCTGGCCCCCAAGCCCCTGGTCTCGTGAGAGCCAACCAGTGACGCTCGCTGGATCCGATCCCATGTTGCAGTGGACGGACCAAGAGGTGTTCCCCCCGAGGGCCTGGGGGGTCTTCCCCTGGAGCCCAGGACAGGCTTGGCAGGTTTGGGAGCTGAGGGGGGCTGGGAGGAGACAGAGCGGCAGCACAGACGGCTGCCCCCTTTCTCTTTCCGGAGGGTGAGGCCGGCCAGTGGCGCGGGTCTGTGGGTGAAAGGGTCAGCTTCATCCCCCCCCCCCCCCGCCGTGGAGGCCGGCCCCCCGTCCCGGTGCCCTCGTGCAGTCTGCTGCTAGGCAGTCACCTGCCGTCCTGGTGGGCGGGCCTCGGGTGCCCTGGCTTTGTCTTCTTCCCCTGGACGAGCCCACTCGCCCAGCCTTTTTACGGGGGCCTTCACTTTTGTTGTTGTCTTGGCTTTCCTTTTGTAGGAAATAGCAGTAAAAATAAATAAGCGGCTGGAATTCAGATCAAGTGCTTAATTTAAACCAGGTCTGTGAAAGGAGAAAAAGAGCGCTGTGAAAGGAGAAAAAAGAGCGCTGTTTTCTCGGAGAGGGGCTTCCGGGAAACAGCAGGCCCGCTGCGATGTTTCTAAGACCGTTTGTGAACAGTTACAATGTTGCAGGCCGTGGGGCCCTTCCTGCAGCTCCGGGGAGGGGACCGAGGCACCTGCGGGCTGCCCGCCTGGGAGGAAGGGGCCTGCATTACAATTGCATAATTACCTGTTCGAGGCCCTTAAGTAAACGCTTGCCACAGACTCCAGGAAGGGCAGAGGGCTGCTGTGAGGCCATTTCCACTCTGCCCACTAGGTCAAGGGCTGAGGGCTTCCTGCATCATACGGCCTGGGCCCCAGCCTGTCACTCCTGGGGAAGGACCCTAGGGACCCACACCCTGTCCGTTCTGAGCACTCGCCTCTGCATCCCAAAGCCAGTCTCCCAGCCCCTCCCTGAGGCTGCGCAGTGAGGGCCTGGAACCTGCCCCCTGCACCCCCTCCCACCAGCGAGATACCCAAAGGGGCGCACGTATCAGTCTCCCGAGCCCCTTCTGATTCTTGAGACACAAAATAAACGGCCTCCTGTTTTGTCCATTTGCTGGTGCCATGGCCTCTCCCCGAGCCTCATGCTCTGTTCGGTGGGCGAGGGGTTAAGTGGCGCTTTGACAGTTGGTGGCCGACACCTATGACTGAGAGGACAGAGGAGGATGCCCGGTGCTCACTTTCACAGAAGTTTCTGGTAGCCCATTTCTTTCCACCCCTTTCCAGACGCCTTTTGGCTACAAGATCGGAAAACGTAGCTTGGGCGTCCTGGCCCACTTTCTCTCCGGGGATGGCTTTTCCCCGGCTGCCCGGTAACCAAACGGATCCTCCCAGCGCAGTCATTTCGTAGTAACCGGTGTCTGAACCTTCTGGGGGCACCGCGTGCTCGCCTCCCGGTGGCTTTCGACCAGACTCGCTGCCTGTCCCACGCACGTGCTTGTACGGTGACCTCATGTGGTGACGTGCAGGCTTGTCGGCGCCGCCTGGGCTCATGCCTCCACAATCGCTGTCTGTTATCCTGGGGAGGAAAACCGTCCCGTCGGGATGCACCTTCTGCAGGCCAGCACTTTCTCCGCGGACGGCGCCCTTGGCCCCCAGGCACCCAATGTAGACAAACTTAATTACAGGGAGCAGAACAATGATCTTGTCGCTGAGGTTTCTATCTTTATTTTTATTGTTTGCCTGTGACGGTAAGAAACAAGTCACACAGACAGACAGCAAGCGCATTGCTCAGTGAGCCTGCGCCCATCCTTGGCATGGCGCCAGGTGGACAGGCCTGCTACCTTGTCATGGAGAGAACCGTGACTCCCCACCTTGCTGTGGGGAGACCCACTCAAGACCGCCAGGGCCTCCATCTGGAAGGACGAGGGCTCCGTGTGTCTGCCAAGCTCCGGAGACCATGGCCTCGCTCTTTCTTTCCTCGTGTTGTGTGAGGCCACAAATAGGACATTTCTGTGACCTCTCCTGCAGCCAACGAACCCCTGGTTTAGGGGCTCAGCATTGTGTCCCCATGCAGGTCACCCGGTGCCACCAGAGGGGGCGCAGGCCCAGTGGAGGCTCCACAGGACCCCCTCCTGCTCGCCTTCTGCCCCGAGACCTGGGGTTGGTTTTGCCGTGCTTCCCTCTGGCGGCACTGCCTTCTCCCGCCCCAGACGGGCCCCAGACGGGGCTCTCGGCTGCCTTACTTGTCCTGCCTCTTCTGGGGCTCTCTTCACGGTTCTTGAGTTGGTGAAATGTATGCGGTCCAAGGACAGTGTCAGTTCAGGGGCCCTGCCATCCCCAGATCTCTGGCTGGACGACGGAATGGGCTGCCACGTAGGGGGCTCCGTCGTACACGCCGCCACCACCAGGGGTGTGTCACTTCACAGCACTCTGTTCGGTGCCCCTGCGCAGAGCTCCGGGAAGTGCTCCTTCGGAGGAGTCCCTTGGTTTTCCATGTGTAAAGAAATTGTCATCTCGGGTCTTTCATGAGTGATGTGTTTTAGGTTGACAGAATGGTGAAAATGACCAAATTGCCTGTGTAAATAAAATACACAAATTATTACTTCTATATTGAACAGGTACTACCATATTTTGCTGTGTATAATGTGCACCCACATTTCTGGCCCAAACTTGCAGGGAAAAAATCTTTCATTTAAATGTTTTAAAAAAGGTTTCATTTATTTTTAGAGAGGGGGAAGGAGGGAGAAAGAGAGGGAAAGAAACATCAGTATGTGGTTGTCTCTTACAGGCCCCCAAACTAACTCAATTTTTAATTTATGTACATTTAGATACCTGTTTTTTGTATTACATAGGAATTTTGGTATTTATTTGAGGAATTTTTTAATGTACTATGCATAGTACAAGAAATTTTATGTAACAAACAATTACAAAATACAAGAACAGATACAAAGTATTTCAGGCACCACCCACATATAATGTGCATCCTTATTTTTCCCTCAAAAATTTCGGGGGAAAAGTGCGCATTATACACGGCAAAATACGGGCTAATTTTCCAGACTATTTCTCTTGCATGAAATTCTTACGCCCCCGCTGTAAGTTAAGTCACCCAAACTGCAGGTGGGGGGAGTGAGGCTGAAAGAGAGAGACTGCTTGTTCTCCCCATCGGCCCCTCAGAGTAGAGACAGGACGTCCCAGGTCCAGCACCCCTCGGGCTTTCCTGTGACGCTGTGAATGGATTATGCAGTTTGGGACGCTTGGGAAACAGCCCCAGGCACTTCCTCCTGAATCACCGTGATGGTATTTCGCAGTGTGATTACAACAGACAGCGTGGGTGTTACCCCAGGAGAGCGCCTGGGGCTCCGATCAGAGGTGGATTTGGGGGGTGCTGGGGAGGGAGATTCTTCACGCCGTGGCCCAGCTTCCTGTGCCCGCGGGGTTCCCAGAGTTTGTGTCTCAGCCCCTTTGGGGGGCGAGCTCTCCTGGGGAGGGCTGTGTCTTCCCGTCTGACTGTGAGCTCCAACGCGGACACTTCTCAGGGAGCCCGGGCTCTAGGTCTGGCTGGCTGCACGAGGGATTGGGTGAGGGGCCTCATTATCACTGATGGGGGATCAGCCTCCGTTGACCTCTGTGACTGACCTCAGCCCCGGGGTTCACGTACTGCGGCTGTAGTGAGGAGTCCCTGCAGCGAGGGGCCCAGCAGGGCTTGAGGCCGGGGTGCACCCAGCCTGGGCCCCGGCTCCCTGGCTGAGCTGGGAACTCCGTTTTCACCTCTGACTGATGGAAGGGTCACACTGTTCCTGTCACAATGGACAGTAGCGTGCTCTTGAGCAGGGGGACCTCCGGCCCTCCCCCCCCAGCCGTCCCCTTGCTGGCAGACTTTCGGGCCTTGTCCCCACTGGGGTTGTGAGTGGGGATCCCGCTTGGCCCGAGTTCTGTGCACCAGAATGTGGTCCCTGGCTCAGAGGGTCACCTGTCAGTACGGGTGCGTGAATTAAACTTCTAATTGGATGGTAGCTCAGGGCTGCACGCTGAAGACGCCAACCTGTCCTGGACCAACGTGTTTGAGGGGTTGTTTCTGGCTTGTTTTTTAATGCATCACTGCACACTTAGCCTCCAGGACGCGCAGATGTTTGCAGACACCTCTCTGCTTTTTGTTTTCAGTGCCTGAAACAGTACGTGGAGCTCTTGATCAAAGAAGGACTGGAAACCGCCATCAGCTGCCCGGATGCGGCCTGCCCCAAGCAGGGCCACCTGCAGGAGAGCGAGGCAGGTGCCTGGGACGGCGTGTCCTGCGACCAGGGGGCGCGCGGGTTCAGTTTCGGCTGAGCTAGCATGGCGTTCCAGCTCGTTATGGTCCTTGTTTCTATTTTTCCTCCCTTAGATCGAGTGCATGGTTGCGGCTGAAATTATGCAAAGATATAAAAAGCTACAGTTTGAAAGAGGTAGGTGCCCCGGCATGTTTGCCAGTTACAGATCACGGGACATAATGCAGGCAGCTGGCGGGAGTGTTTTCGGGAGAGAGGCGGGGGCATCGTGTGGCTACAGCAGTCTGAATTCTCCAGAGAGCTAGCTCAGAATCAGGAGGACCTGGGTGGTAGCAGGAACCCTCCCAAAACAAGTGTTACAGCGACGTGTCCTCATGGGGGAGGTGTAAAGAGACGCGTCCATCTTCAGCCCAGCAGTTTGAGGGCTAAACTCTCAGACCCGCAGGGAGTTTAAGAGATGCTGAGGCCTGGTCGGAGGCCTGGGGCCGAGCCCCGGAGAAATGGGGGTGTACCCTGCCACCATCCCCAACCCGCCCCCCTGCGCAAAGCCAGACCTTTCCCTGCACTCGGGGCGGGGGGTGATGGGGGGCCGGCTCCAGCAGGACTGGCCTCCCGGGGGCGGGGGTCTCATCTCAGTAATCATGCCAGCCCCTCCACAACGTGGTCCTTATCTGCAAACTGACGCCCCCGAGGCTGACTGACTCACCGGGATCCCCATCTCCAGTGCTTGGCGGGCAGGGCGGGGTGAGGGCTCCTCCCCTCCCACCCGCCCTGCCCAGGCCCTGGGGGTCCCCAGCACCCGGGTGGGTGGCGCGAAGCGTGCGCAGGGCGGCTGTGACAGGATCGCCTCTTTGCGGTGACACTGCAAAGCCTGGCAGTGTCTGCAGGGCAGGGCCGGTCTTCACCTCCGTCCTCTGCTGGCACCAGGGCCACGCCACGGTGTTTCCAGCGTCTGTGGGTCCCCTCTGGCCTCGTTTATAGATTTGTGACCAGGTGGGGCTCCCCTGGAGGACACACACCTGCAAGTACAACTTCAGGTGAACAGGCCAGATTCCGGGATTTCCAGCTCGGGGCGCAGGGGGCGGGCGTCAGGGGCTCCCTCCAGAGATCCAGCCCTGGCTCCGGTTTCCACGCAAACTGCCCACGTGGGAGTGAGCGAGGGGTCAACCGAGGCGAGGGTCAGGGGCCGCCTGTTGAGCTGAGTGTGGAAAATCTGTGTATGTGGTTTCTGAAAGAAATGCTAAAGATACTTCCTCTGGGGGATTACTTCTCTGAAAAAAAAGGGATGGCGGCCAACTTAAGAAAACAGAAAACAATATTGTTGATGGCACTACAATTTCTTTTCCAGAGCTTGTTTATTTAAATGGCATGTATCACTTGGTTTTGACTGTTTATAACTTAAATATAATGCCATGCAATATACAAATCAGTCCGTGCTGCTATAAAACTGATGAATTTGGATTTCTGAGACTTTCAGGCCCTTTGGAAAACATTTTCCCGAGAGAATCTCAACAGAAAGTGGCAGTTATTTGGGTTGTAAGAAAGTGAACTTTCGGTGACATTGAATTTAATTTAAAATTGCAGCTGGGTAAATATTTCTGCCCCATTTTGACTGATTTCTTCAGTACCTTGGCTTTGTCCAAAAGGTTTCTTTTTTTCCTTTTGCATAAAAATGAAGCCAACTTGACTTAGGTTCTAAAATACACCCGTCAAACCTATTACTGTAAAATGTTTTGCCGCATTAAAAGCCAGAGCAAATGGACTTGAACTGAATATGACTAAAGACTCGTCTGCAGGTTCAAACGGCAGAGCTGAAACACAGCGACAGTTTATGGCCGTCGTCGGGCGGGTTCCGAGATCGGGTCCGAAACACGGGTGGGCTTGTGCCCTCCCTGTGAAATGCCCGGGAGAAAAACTCAGACAGTCCTGGGGTTTTCTGAGAACACTGTTTCCCCACACGCCCCGTGGCTGGTGTAACCCCCACACTCTGTCTCCGTGTGGTGCAGATGTCTGAGCTGCCGGAAAAGCCTCGATTTCACTGTGAGTTCTCCATTCTTCCAGCCAGGCCTTGGCAAGCGGGCAGCCGGTAATCACGTGAGGGACGCTTTCCTCTCGGAGCCCCTGCCTGCCCGACCGCAGGGCCCAGAGACTGGCCGGGGAGGGGCTTTCAACAGGGAGGTGTGCTGCCTGTTCTGGGGGCCCCCTTTGGTGTTCCCAGGGGTGTCCCACTGCTATGGGGGCACCAGCCCTGCGGGGTCGAAAGGTGTTCATACCGTGCCCATCTCTCCAGAAGCCCCCGGTGCCCAGAGACCGGCTCTGGCTCCGGCTCCCTGGGGTCTCACCCCACAGGCAGCACCACGGCTGTTGGCTGAGGCCAAAGGCAGGCCTTGGTGCCGTTTCGTGTGTTCGAAGGACAGTGAAGCTCAGAGGTGAAACAGCTTTTCCGGCCCGACCAAAGCCAAGGGCTCCATCAGTGACTCTGTCTCCTGGCAGGACAGGGCTTGCAGCCGCAGAGTGGCAGCCGGTGCACCGGCTCTAACGTCCGCACCGCCTCAGGGGGCGTGGCGGGGGGCTGAGCACGTGCCCGTCACAGCAACTCCTCAAGGGAAGACCAGGCTTAGAAAAGAAAAACACCTTTTAAAAAAAGTCTTGGGTTTTTATATAGGTAAACCTTTCGGGAACCTGCTGCAGTAGCTGTTACTAATGTATCTTTGGGAGCTGGGAGTTCTGATCGGTTTCTGCCAGAGAATGCCCGCTCGCCTTGTTGGAAACGGTATTATGTACACACTCTTCTATATGAGTATTAGATCCGCTGTAATGTGACGTCCGGTCCATCTGAAGTCTGTTACCAGATACGCGTGTGATGGACGAAGGCAGACACGCGTGGGCGTACGGGTGGGCAGAGCCAGGGTCACAGCGGTGAGTCTGTGAGACACTGTATTATCTTGTACTGTTATTTATTCATTATCATTCTACTTCCCATACATACAAGTGTAAACCTACTTTGCCCCCACCTGGAGAGAAATGCCCCCTGGTGTTGCCCAGGGTGGATTTCCTTCTTTTGAGAAAAAGTTTCAAAGATTTTATTTATTTTTAGAGAGAAGGCAAGGGAGAAAGAGAGGGAGAGAAACATTCGTGTGTGGTTGCCTCTTGTGCGCCCCCTGCTGGGGACCTGGACCATAACCCAGGCACATGCCCTGACTGGGAGTCAAACCGACGATGCTTGGGTTTGAATCCGGCACTCAGTCCACCGAGCACGCCAGCCAGGGTGGATTTCCTCGGGGACCTGGCACACCTGACTGGCGGTGCTCCACAGTGGGGGTGTGGGGGTGCTGATGGAGAATTCACTGAAGTCCAGAGAGAGAAAGGAAAGCCCGGGGTCGTGTGTACAGGGGCCCCCGTGCCCTGACGTCTGCTTACAGCTGTCGGAGCGGACCGAGCCTTTGCCCTTCGCCTCTCCCGCAGGGAGTCTCTGCCCGTGGGACAGGCAGTGCCACGTCACAGGTCCATGAGGACAGACCTTCAGTGGTTACTATGGAAACCATAGCTGAGTCCCCTCTACCCTGCACGCCATACTATGACTGGGACTCTCGTGAGAGCGGGCAACAGCTACCCCTTTGTGCAAGGGGCTGAGGCCCCGGAGACAGCACAGGCCCCTTGGGAGCCAGGCCCCTTGCTGAGGTCACAGGCGCCTCGGGGCTGGAGAGCAGCGGGAACCAGGAGGGTCTCGGCGTGGGCTCCCAGGTCGACCAGCACTAACCTTGGTCAAAGCCAGGTTGGAATTCTCTCCACGTGCCGCCCGGACGTGGGCACACAGCACCCACCGTCTGCAGGGCCCTTCCTGGGTGTGTGCACCCCGTGGCCCCGTCAGGCAGAGCAGGGAAGTTGGGGGCCGTGTAGGGAAGGCCTCGAGGTGAATCGGAGAAGGGAGGGACCGGACTGCTAGGTACCCTGCGGGACTCTGATTCCTGAGGAGGACGCGGTGTCTCCCCTACACCGAGATGCGCCCGGCGCTCCCCGCAGCCCCGGCACCCAGCCCGGGCAGGGCAGCCCTCCCTCCGGTCGCCTGTCCCCTCAGCTCAGGCCGCAGCAGGGAGCCGCCCGCCGTGTGCATGGTTCTCCGGAGGCTGCATTTTCCCACAAGCCACCCCCTCGGGTCTGACGGCCAGAACCAGTCCTGGGAAAGCAGACGGTGAACCTGGGGACAGCTAATAACTGGCAGCTTTTCCTCACTGTCGACTCACTGTGGGGGCATCATGGCTTTCCGTTATCACGACGCAGGTCGACGAAAGGGGAACACGTGTTCCCGGACTGCAGAGTTTCTTTATGTTATCAAGTTGGTCTAATATCCTGCCAGGCTACCAGTTCGGGAGTTTCATGCCATTGGTTAATACGCTTCAGTGAAAAAGGCAGAGCAAGGAGTTAGATCACCAGGTGGTCAGCCAAGACCAGGGGGCCAAGTGCACCCGGACCCTGGCCTGGTGTTGTCAATAAAGTTTTACTGGCACACCCACTGAGGGATCACTGTGGCCGCCTCCGTGCTGCTCCAGCAGAGCTGAGCCTGGGACCCAGTCCGAACGGCCCTCCCGGGCTGAGATGCTCACCGCCTGCCCTTTGCAGGAAGGGTTTGCCAGCCCCTGCGGTAGACGATGAGATTGTTCCCAGCTTTTCCTAGATGGCTGACTCTGGCTTCCCCACTGAAAGGGGGTCGTGTCGAACGTGCGTGTCCTGTGGCAGCCCGCTGTGTGGGGCCGCCTCCGCCCCGGCCCTCTCACGTCCCCAGTGAGGACGGATCCCCTTTTCGATGTGGGGGAGCAGAGCCCGCCCTGGCTGCCTGCCGGCCCATGGCATGGAAGCACAGCCTTTCATCGCCCTCCAAGTCTCCCCAGCGCAGTTCAGTCGTCTTGGGTTCCCTCCCCAGAGCCGCCCTGCCGAAGAGCGTGGACACCCATGGCCCGCTTGCAGGCCCTGGAAACGGCCAGACACTTTGGTGGGACACCAGCTGTATTATTCCGAGGTTTCCTGTCACTGCCCCCTCCGCTGCCCCTCACCGAGAATTCAGAGTCACACCGCTCAGGGGCTGAATGAAAAGCAAAACCAGGCTCACAGGGAGGACGGAGGGGACCCACCGTGTGAAGGAATGCGAGCACTCTGAGCAAGGACGCGGAGAAATAGCAGCAGCCGGTGTCCTGTTTCCCAAACCGACTTCCTGACTCCTTTTATCAAATCCAGCTCCTCAGCGGCTTGACCTCCACGGGATGGAAGACCCTGGCACCCCCCACACAGCAGTTAGCTCGAGGCCGAGGTGTGCCCTGGGCGGGAGGCAGCCCCAGGGGACGGGCCGTCGGACGTCCGCCCCAGGGTCTGCTGTGCGTCTCGCTCTGAACCAGGCTGCAAGGCCACCCGGCTGGTGCACAGGCCAGCCTCAGTTCTTTGTGTCCTGGGGGAGGTGAGCTCTGGACCACAATGTGCAGGCTCTCGGAGGGTCAGTGGGGGCCACAGGCATGCGGGGTGCAGCAGTGGCATCCTGAGGGGACCCCGGGGGTCTGGAGCAGGGTCGGAGGCCAGGATGCCTGGAGAGGAGGAGAAAGCCAGGTGGGCGCCTCCTGATGACCGTGCTGACTGGGTGCCCTCCTCTGAGACCTGTCCCTCTCCAGATCTGACCTGTCCCTCTTGTCCCCTGTGCCAGAGGTGCTCCTGGACCCCTGTCGGACCTGGTGCCCAGCGTCCACCTGCCAGGCTGTGTGCCAGCTCCAGGAGATGGGACTGCAGACGCCCCAGCTGGTGCAGTGCAAAGCCTGCGACACGGAGTTCTGCTCCGCCTGCAAGGCCAGCTGGCACCCCGGCCGGGGCTGCCCCGAGGCCGTGCCGGTCACCTTCCTCCCCGGGGAGACCAGGTGGGCTCCGTGCACCGGGTGGAGGGGGAGGGCTTGGAGGATGGGGGCAGGGGCTTCCTCTCTCCCTGTGCTACAGGGCAGACGTGGCTGCATCCAGATCGGCCCGCTCTGCTGAGTCTCGTTCACACCTGGGGTGGCTGGTTTGTTTTTTGCTTAATGTTGACAACTATTTGGGGGGGGGGGCGCTGTGCAGGGCCCAGGAGACACAACGGGGCCCGGGAGCCGACCTGCACTCTGTCCGCCCAGAAGGACAGACATGTGGACGGTCAGTTTCCGTTTGGGGTTCTGTGCCCTGAGATTTTCTCAAGACTCCGCTGTGGAAGGGGACCTGAATCGGGGTGCAGGAGCCGGGCGCCGTGGCTGGGAGGTGGCCCCAAATACCAGAAAGACCCCCGACAACAGGTCCCTGGGGGCCACATCCTCCAAAAGGCCAAGCCTGTCAGGAGAACCCGGTCGGTCACTACTGCGTTCCTGCCCCCTGTCCTCTCCCAGCTCTGCAGCCGGTGCCCCGGTGGGCACCGCACACCACCTCCAGCACCTCGAAGTGTGGTGGATCGAAGCACAGGGAAGCGACAGCCCTCACCTTTTCTCATCCTGAAGGGCCGCAGTGGCCTCTGTTTCCATCAAGAGTTGGCTTTGCACTTGGCCGCCGACCCTGCCCTCCCTGTTTCTGCGGGAGCCGGTCTGATTGCAGCACCAGCCGTACTGTGTCCAGTCCCTCTGTTTACGCGGCTGGTCCTCCTGGATGCCAAGCCTGCCTTGGTTCCACCTTTGTCACCCCGGGTCTTGGCCTGGGGAGGGGCGCTACCCTGGGCTGCTGTAGTCCCCAGCACTCCCACCCGTGTCCTCGGTCCTGAGGCCCACTGCCCGGTGCCACTTCTGACCGACAGCGCGCTCAGCTCTTCGCCTGACACACGGTCTGTTTTTGCAAAACCCAATCTCCCCTTCGCCCATGTTACCGAGTGGCACCTGGTCAGCTCCACAAACCTGAGTCTCACAGACACCGCCACATGTGGACGGCGGCAATGACCCCAGAGTCCCGTCTGCCCTCGTAACCTTTACTGTCGTCATGCTTCAAGTGTAATTCGAGGGCCAGAAAGTCCAGGAAAGCCACTGTTCATACCAGCTACGTGTCTGCATGCTGGAAGCCCCCAGAGCTTCCAGGGTTTACCTGTTCCTGTTTGAAACATCTCCCAGGGAGATGCTGTCCCTAACGTGGTCTCTGTCCCCAGCATTTCCCTGGCCGGGAGACAGGTTGTAAGGACCAGGAAGAGCCAATGAGCTGACCCCTGTGTTTCTGTGGCATTTTTCTGAAAGAGGGTGTATGAAAATGATCAGCCCTTTGGAATGTACAAAAAACACACGGATGAGGACACAGACCCTGACCGTGACCCCATTACTCGGATTCCTCCGTTCTCAGCCATTTGCCACATGTTCTTTTGCTTGTCTGTGCTTCTCTCTAAAGTGGCATGTGTGCAAATGTTGCTCTTTTCCCCCCAAACTGAAGGAGCCAGTTCACAGTTTTTGGTGGTGGTTTTCCAGAGTTCTCGTCTCTTTGGTTTTGCTTTATCTCATTTGCTACCGAGCGGCCCCGGCCACTGCAGGTGGGCCCACAGTCCCGGGACCGGGGACAGCCCGGGACCTGCGGGCGGGGCCCTGATGGACCGTGTCCCCGCAGCTCGGCCTTCAGGCCCGAGGAGGACGATGCGCCCATCAAACGCTGCCCCAAGTGCAAGGTCTACATCGAGCGGGACGAAGGGTGCGCCCAAATGATGTGCAAGAGTTGCAAGCACGCCTTCTGCTGGTACTGCCTCGAGTCGCTGGACGTGAGTGCCACCGGGAAGGCCCCTGGGACCTTGCAGGCCAGAGTCTGTGTGTGTGAGGTGTGTGTTTACGTATGCCTCACACACACAGCCATGTATAGGCATGTGCATCCTATGCGTGGGTCATATGCATCTTACATGCACACAGGTAGTCCATGTGTGGGCAGACTCTCCGCACCTTACCCATACAAGGGATGTGTATAATTTTGCATTTTACTGTGTCCCAGTGCTTTTTGAGGCCACCGTCATTTACACATTGTAAAAGCCTCGACAGTGTGTCCGGAGGGAGAAGAGAGGTCCTGTTTAAACACACATTCACCCTGCTCAGGAGGCATGTCCCGTGTCCCCCTCGGCTCTGCTACCGGGGAGGCCGGCAGAGTCCGGACACCGGGGAGCGGGTGAGCCCCAGGGAGAGAAGCCCCTAACCCTGGGGGCGGTGGTCCTGTGGAGCGTGCTGCGGGCCGATGGGTGTGAAGCCCGCCGGCAGCCCCGGGAAGGAGCAGGGACTGGTCCGGGATGGTTGGGGCCCGGTGACAGCACAGTGACAGCGGACGCAGTGTTCCTTCACCAGGCAGAGAGCACAGAACAGGACAGGGTGCGATGAGGAGGGACAAAGCGTTAATACAGGGCCTGAGCTTGGCCAGACCGTGAACTTGGAGCCGTGACAGGGGTCTCTGTGCTGAGCTGAGAGGGGTGGCCTCTAGCACGGGGACCCTGCCCCCCAAGCTCTGGCCCAACCATGGGAGGTGGTGAGCTGGGCCCACCCCACACCCACGGGCCCAGGAATCAGCATGTTCCATCAGCCGTCCAGGTGACCCACACGAGGGTGATTTGTCTGCACTGGGTCGTGCCAGGCGATTTGGTGCGTGTTGCGGAAAACAAGTTAAAAAACCGTTCGGGAGCCTGCAGTGCAGGACTTCCGATGGGCGCCCAGCCGGCCTCAGTGGGAAGGAGGGCGCGCTTCTGACTTCTCACAGTGGACGGACGTGCTGGGCCACAGCCTCCAGGAAGACGGGGGTCTGGCTGGAGGCTGCCGGCGCTGCCCTTCTCCCGGGGGCTGGGGTGGGGGTGTGGGCTGGTGGCAGCTGCCGGCGCTCCTGACCTCCCTCCACAGCTTCTCCCTGCCCCCCACCCGGGGAAATCCAGGGCGAGGATGCAGTACCATGGATTCAGGTGCCAGGAATGGCCTGTACGAATCAGCAAACTGGGGGCAGCAGTATCCCCAGTTACTGGGGAGGGGGCTCCCAGCAGAGCAGACTGTGGGGCCGGGCAAGAGCCTCTGTGCCTGGTCTCCTGGGCCCCCCAGAGAGGGGCTCACTGTCTCCTCAGACACACCAGGCCCGGGCTGGTCCCTCTATTGTCCAAAAGAGGCCGTTGGCACCCTCGTTAGAGAACACACGGCCACCAGCCTCCTTTCTGCTGTTTACGGAGCCGTCTCTGTTATGGACCATTGCGGGGAACGGCAGCTTCTGTTCACAGCAGAGCAGAGGGCCCTGTCTAGAAACCCCCTGCACTCTCAGTCAGGGCTGGATGAGGTTTGGGGCGCCAAGCACGGGGCCGGGGTCCGAGTGAACAGACCAGAGTCCATGAGGGGCGCCTGACAGTAAGTCCCGGAGAGGCCGTGGGAAGGCGGTCGGGGTCCAGCTGGGCGGTGAGCACCGGACGGAGGCAGCGGAGGTTTTTTGTTTTCCCTGAGCGTCCGCAGGAGTGACTGCCCACTACTGGTTGGTCGGGGGCATTGCAGAGACTGGTTCTCAGGCGAGAGCGTAGGTGGTCCGTCTGCACCAGGCAGGGGGGTGGCCAGAGAGAAGGGAAACCTTTGCCTCCCTGCCCCCGGGATAATCCGGCCTGGAGGAGAGGAAGACGAAGAGGCAGAGGGTCCCCAGAGGACAACGCCCCACCAGGGCCCGGAGCGGCCTGGGGGTAGCAGGAGCCTCCCTCTACTTGATCCTTGACCTGTGTCACGAGAGTCTCTCCTTCTCTCCAAAATCTAGAAAGCCACTGAGCGCAGGGTCACCGGCTCCGGGGGAGGTTGAAATCTGGGACGGCGGCCTGCGGTGGCATTTGCTTGCCCTCCCATGTCGCACCCTGCCTCGGGAGTCCCCTTGGACCTCAGGAACTTGGCCCAGACTCCGGCACTGACTTGCCCCGTCTCTCTCACTTCCCAGGACGACTTCCTCCTGATCCACTATGATAAGGGACCCTGCCGGGACAAGCTGGGCCACTCCAGGGCTTCCGTCATCTGGCATCGGACACAGGTAGGGCCCAGCCACCTGGCCTTGGGTCTGGGGAAGGGCACGTGTGTGCGGGTGTGTGTACATGTGTGCAGGAGTGAAGGTGGCTTCCAGAACACTTGCCAGTTCCGTGGAGAAACACGCTGGGATACACGGTTCCCAGTCTCAGGTGAGGCTCTGGCTGCCGGGGCCAGAGCGGAGCTCGGAGGACACGGGTCTCGGGCCTGAGGGGACTCCTGGCTCTCACCCGAGGTCTCGGCCAAGGCTCACAGTCTTTCGGCTGCTGCGCACACAACCCTTGGGGAGGGAAGCCCTGCAGGGGCCCCGAGGCGAGCGACCCCTGGGACAGAAGCGGGCCCAGTGGGCCTTGGAGGCCCCAGGGGGCCTGTCGCTAACACGAGTCCGCGCTTTCCACACACCTGGGTTCCCTGCTGGGCGTGTGGGGGTCGGGATGGGTCGGGCTGACTGGCAACAGTCGCACAGTCTGGAAACACTAGACACCATGGACTCCTGCGCTTGAAGTGGTGACTCGGAAGGTGTGTGAATTGTAGCAGCCAAGCTGTGCTGGAGAATCAGAACCAAGGGACCCCGACCGGAAGTGGCCCTGGGTCTGGAGAGCTGACTGTGGCTCTCCTTCCCTGTCGTCCTGGTCCCAGCACTGTCCCACACGGGTCACAGAGGGGCCCATGGCTCACACGTCTGCCCACAGTGTCAGGTCACAAGCTCCCTGGGGACGTGAGCCCCCACCTGCCCTGGGGACCCGTACAGCTCAGACCACCCCACACTCAGGAGCTGCCTCTGAGCCCTGCAGCCCCCGGTGTGTTGGGGCTGTGGTCGGCCCCCACCGCCCACCTCCCAGTGTGCGGTTTGTGGATTCACGAGGTCCCTGCCCCCAGCTCTGCCTGCAGTCGGCTGTGACACCAGGTGACAGGACTCTGTGGGGTGTCAGAGGACTTCAGTGCCCCCCCCCCCCGTGCTATTTTAGCAGGCGGCTATCGGCGCTTCCCCAGGGAGTGGAAGTGCCCTCTGCCACATGCCTCGTACCGAGCGCGCTTTCAAACCGACTTCTCTGGAGGGCACATCATGCTGGCGAGAGACGTTTTCTGTCTTTGTCACACAAAGGTTCTGCTTCTTTTGTTCTGTGCCAGGCAGTGTAACTTGCCCTCGGGGCAGCAGGTCTCTCTGGCTGTGACCGAGCTGCAGGGACCCGTCCCGAGAAGTGGTGGGCAGGTGCGGGGGCCCCAGGGGGCTGTGGAGACAGGTCTCACTCACGACTCCCAGCTGTGCCTGCCTGGGCCTGCCCCCCGGATGCTGCCGCTGGGCCCCTCACCTGCCCTCCGCTCACCCCCGACAAACACGGCCTCTGAGAAGTGGCTGCCTGCCGTCTCCAGGGCTGTTCTGCAGAAACCAGACGTCCTGTGTAAGAGACAGAAGGGACGCTTCTCTCCCTCTGGGGTCCTGCTGCTTCTGCAGGGAGCCACTCCCTGACGGGGGTGAGGGGAATCTTATCCACTGGTCTCCCCGCTCCTCTGAGCAGGGAGCAAACGGCTCTTAACCATGGGCTGCCGCACAGCAAAGGGGGTCCGGCTGTGAGCCAGAGGGTGGAGCGTGTACCCACGTACCCGCGGAGCTGCGTCCTGCCTCCCCTGAGGCTGCGCTGAAGGGCGGTGGGAGTTCGCTCCAGGAGTTTGTGGTGAGCTGTGTCTGCCGCCCCCCCAAAGTTGGGAGGGCCCCTTCCTTGAAAGCAGACACAGACACTGTTCTCCCGTCCTGTGCAATTCAGACATCGCCCAGACCTGTGGGCGAGACACTGGTGACCCCGCTTACTAAGTGGTGTGCGCAGACGAGGCAGATGAAGACGGAGATTACCTGGCCGAGCATGTGAGCATTTGGCTGCAATCTGGGCACGTTTTTTGAGTCCCGGGCTCCTTTAGGACTCACAGTAGTGGAGAGTGCTCGAGAGCGCCCTCTGGGGGAGTAACACCTCCCTGGGTGCTCTTGGGGCATCTGAGATAGCAGTGTGCTTGCGGTTTTGACAGAGCTGGGCGTGAATTCACAGCCTGTAATTCCCCCGCCGGTGTTCACTGGGCTCTCAGCATCGGCACAGTGTAATTTACTGATGTGGTGTCATGTACGTGCGCTCGTGTGGGCAATGGTTTCAGGCAGAACTCTGTGTCCAGGACCGTGGGGTCTGTCCAGAAGGCACCCAGCCATGTGCTTTGAGAAACAGAGACACTGACTGAAGAAGATACAAGGTACAGGAAACACTGTACACAGGACAGTGACCCGTCAGTCCCCTTCAAAGCAGGCCCCTTGGGACCTCACACAGTTCTCCCAATCACCTTCAGCTGCCCTGTTGTAATTTCCTGAATCTAACTGATGGTCTGAAATCACTTCCCTTTCAAAGGGGATTTTAGTTTGGGGATGATGTGGACTCCGACCAGCGGGGTCCCTGTGTCATGGCCGTGATGAACACATTCACAAGGACTGCAGAAGTCCCGTGGAGAAGAGGGACGGCCTGGCCACTCTCTGAGTGAGAGAGGGCCCCGGCCCCAGCCTGGGCAGGCTTTTGTTGCTTTTCTGGGCACGTTCCATCAAGATGGTCCTCATTTCCTGTGCACAGGGAAAGATGTTGCTGACTACTTCTTACAGAGAACAAAGAAAAGAATGTCTCGAATGCAGGGGGAAAAGTGGTCAAACTGGTTACACTCAGTCCTCGGGAGGATTAGCACAGATATTGGGAAGTTACTTTAAAGATAGGCAGCAAACACATTCTGCCTCAATTCAGGGTGAGGGAGTTTTAGCAAAAGCAAGCCTCAAAGCAGCCTGGGTACAAAGCAGGCCTGGCTCCCCGCAGGAAAGCCAATCTGCGGGCCTGGCTCCTGCATGCTGCCTGTCATTTTTCCGAACCAGGGGCTGGGCTACATTCACCACTGCCACACAGATCTGTTCCCTATATTGGGAAAAGCCAGAAGTCGCAGGGCACCAAATCTAGCCTATAGAGGGGCTGAATCACCTGGGTGATTTGATATTTTGCCAAAAACTCTGCACAAGACATGATGCATGAGTGGGCACATTGCCATGATGAAGTTGCCAGTCACTGACTGCCAGTAGCTGTGGCCTCTGAATGATCTGAATGGTTTCTGTAGAGGAGTGTTCAAGCTTAACACAAAACTTGATGCATATTTATTGCTCTGCTCACTCATTTTGAAGGTGACGGCCACACAGTGCACATGCTCACTCAGTGGCATCTACCGCCTCCACTGCCCAGCACAGTGAGGTCATCATCGTTCACACGTGCGCATTCCAGCCCGCTCTCCTTGGCTGCCAGGTTACATGGATTTGCGCGAATCGTTCTCATTATATTAATAATGGCTGGACTTTTTCCAGACAGAGCTCGTATTTTCCCTCACACACCTGGGATGCTTTGCATACTACAGTGTTTCAGAGCTTTTTAGCAGTCCTTGGAGATCTTTCACCTCATTTGTTTACCTTATAATTGAGAAAATGATTTTATAATTAAGGCCCAGAGAGCAGTAAACACCTGAGTCAGGATTAGGACCAGGTGCTAGGCGTTTGTGTAACAGTCCCTCTGAGCACTAGGTGGGGCTGTAACCCCATCTTTAGGTCTCCGTCCTGGGCTCTGAGCTGTCTGAGAGGCAGGAGACCAGCCCAAACCAGCCTCCTGCTCCTCTGACCAACCTCCCTGCCTAATTTGCATGACTCCATGTGTGCATTTGAGGCTTATTTCTTTCAGCACTTACTCCTACCTAGGGGTAATCATGTGTCAAAACAAAATAACCCAAAATACAAAAATAAAGCATGCGTGTTAAAACAAGGTACCACAGGTCTGGCCGTCTCCGAACACTCCCGTCCACCAGCCTTTCTCGTCCACCAGCCACCTCCTCTCTTTACCCACGGAGCCACCTCCCTGAGAAAACCTTCCCTCTTCCCCGCGCCCCCTCCACACCCAGAACCCAATGGAAGGGCTTCCTAACTGCATTGTTATAGCTGATTAGCTGGTGGTCTCTTTCCACCAGACTGGCTGCTTCTTGGGGGCCAAGATCGTACGTGTTTCTGTATGTGCAACACCCAGGACAGCATCTAGCTCAGGAGGGGCTGCTGGGTTAACCGGGTGTGCAAATGGGAGGGTGTTTGGGTGCTCAGATGGAAAGAGGGAGGAGAAGAGAAGTGAAAGTAACAAAAGAAAAGGAGAAATGGGAAGAGGAGGGAGGGGAAGAAAGTGAAGGGAAGGAAGTAGGGGTGGATGACGGATGGATGGACGAATGGACAGATGGAAGGATGATAAATAGATGGATGAGTGAGTGGATGGGTGGAAAGGTAGATGGGTGATGGACAGATGGATGGATGATAAATAGATGGATGAGTGAGTGGATGGGTGGAAAGGTAGATGGGTGATGGACAGATGGATGGATGAAAGGGCGGAAGGATAGATGAGAGACTATATGGTTGGATGCTGCGTGAATAATGGGTGGATGGACAGACGGGTGGATGGATGGATGGATGGATGGGAGGACGAGGTGTGGGTGGCTGAGGGACGGATGGGACGGCTGTATGGTTCATACTTCAGCCGTGGCACCTACAGACCAGCCACCTTACCCTCTGCTCCTGTGTCTCCGTCTTGCAGGTCGTGGGCATCTTTGCCGGATTTGGGCTCCTGCTCCTGGTGGCCTCGCCACTCCTGCTTCTGGCCACCCCGTTCGTGCTTTGCTGCAGGTGCAAATGCAGCAAAGGCGACGATGACCCCTCACCCACCTAGAGGAAGGCGGGCGCTGGCACGGGACCCCCGCCTCCAAGAAGTGTGGTGCCCCCTCCCACCCCCCCACCCCCCACTAAACATCGTTCTTGCCTTATGTGCCCCATTGAGCTTCACAGTGTCGCGCTGGACGCCATGGTTTCAGGGACCAATGTCAGAACTCTCGCCGAGGCCCCAGTGCCGTCACCGGGGCTGGCGGGCAGAGGGTACATCCCGGCAGAACCTGGCTCTGCAGACTCGACCCAGGAGGTGCTGCAGGAAGCACACGGGCTGCTTTCTTCCCGTGGTGACCGACGAGGAGTGTGTGGCAGGTGCACAAGAGACCTTCTTGGGCAAGTTGTTGTCTCGCCCTCAGCCTCCAGGTGGCGCCATGTTGCCGAGAGGAATCTTGGCAGGATTGCCACTGGCTTCAGACAGACTCCCGTGATTCTGACTCGAGAAAAGTACTGTTGGAGACAACCGTTTTCATTACTAGTGGCATTTAGTAACTTTTCAGAAGGCATTTCCCCCCCAGCAGAGTAGTGGAAACTCAACAAGGTGCGTCTACGCCATCCTCTGCCTTTCTCGCATTGGGAGATGTGTGTGTTCGGAAGCTGGGCCGAACGAGCCTGGGAGGGCCTGGGCGCCTCGGTGCCCACCTCCCCGAAAGCCGTTCCGTGTTTCTTCGGAAGCACGGCCATGTTGGCAGGTCCGTGGCCGTCATCGGCTTGCCTTTCCTTTCTTCGCTCCTTGCCCAGCCAGTTCTGCCCGCCATCCGCCTATTTCTCCCCACCTGGCCACCAGCAGACACACTTTACGCACGTCTTCAGAGACCACAGGTCTGCTCACAAGTGGTTTTCTGGGCATCACTGCAGTTTGGCGCTTGCCTCTGTCTCCCCTGGGGGGCAGTAGGCAGGAAACGAGGCCCTCGGTCTGCAGGGGGGCCCTAGGGTCTGAGGGTGGGGGGCACTTCCTGCGTGTCTGCAGGTTTTTCAGGGCTTAGTTAGTTTCTCGAGCTCTGGGCCCCGACCCGAACCATTCGCCCCTGCTGAAACCCCCCGTCATTGCGCCAGGGGTCTGCCACTCTGTCTTCTCCAGGCCGTGTGGCTGCTCCTTCCCATGGCAGCGGCGTCCACGGGTCAATGAGACGCATCCCCCCATGGATTAACTTTGAAAAGTGGGGAGCAAGTGTTCTTTACAGAGACTTGGTGTTGGTGCAGCTACCCAAGTCCCATGCGCTGGTACAGGGCTAGCTGGTTGCGTCGACCTTGGGGCTTCCAAACACGGTGGAGGGGCAGATGTTGCAGATTTGTTACAGTGGCACTTGTGGAAACTCACTAAGGGGCTTCGCAGGGGACTAAAGGGGAGCAAAAGCTGACGTTGCTCCCCACCATTCGCTTGTGGGGAGCCCTTGTGTGCACAGGAGGGGGCAGCGTTTGTGGCCTTTCGGGTCAGGTTTACCTCCCCATGGAGAACTCTCCTCTTTGTTTCTGAAGTTTTAATGGGTCAGAAGAAATAGGACCACCTCGTTTCTTCCCTTCTGGTGTTTATTTCTTTTATGAAACAAGTCATTCAGGAGACCGGTCCATGTCAAAATGTTCCCTGTAACTGCAGTTTAAAATTTCAGTGTCTACGTTAAAAGAACAAGCCTGCGCCTGCCCTCGAGGGGAGGAGCCTGGGCGGCGCGTCTCTGTGCCCGGGGAAGGGGACCCAGGGTCTGGCGGCCGCTGCCTTTCCTGAGAGGGTGGCGGCTCCGTGAGGCTTAAAGCTGAAGCCGGTGGCCTGCGCTTGAAGCCACATCACGGGGTTTGTGACCGCCTCCCTCCAGCCACCGCGCTTTGACGTGTGTGTGGAAGCAGCAGGTGTGTGGTCCTGGGTCCAGGGGTCCACAGTTGGGAGGCTGCGCCCATCCCGGTCCATCTTGCTGGCCCTGGCCGCTGCTCTCTGCACAGTGACCGTCCCTCCTCCGTCCACTGGGGTGGGGCCTGAGCCTTGAAAAGGTCGCATTCCCAGGGTGAGAGCTCCCATGTGTCTGTTCCTAGTGGGCCAGGTCGGCCGTCTACCCTGAGAAGTCCGAGGCCCAACCCTGCCTGTCTGTAGCCCTGCCCACCGGTGCCTTCACAGCTGGCACATTTCACAAGTACGAGGTGTGACCCCCTTTGGGACCACCGAGACTGTGGGGCCGACGGGAGCCCAAGTGGCACCTGCTTGCCCTGAGGCTTGGCACCAAGTGAGCCTTGGTGCACTCCAGGGGTAGCAAAGCCGAGGCCGCCCATTCCCTGGAAGGGCCCCAGCAGGCCGCCCCCAGGCCCTCCCGTGACCCCGCATTTCCCCCCCTCCTCCGTCAGTCTGGCAGGGATGCCACCCCCCCTTGTCTGTGGGGTCGTGATGCTGACCAGGCTCGACGTAAAATGTGGGCAGAGCGTGGGGAGCTGGCCTGCATTTGGATGTTATGGCTCGCCATCGGTCCCCGGGGAACCTGGGGGAGTTCTGCACTTTGGGGGTGGACTCCTCCCAGTTCATGTGACAATGACACCCCGGTCGCTGACGGTTTTCACGGCCGCCCTCTGGAAGCAGTGCGGTTGATTCCATCAGAGGCCTTTAAGTCCAGGGGACAAGGAAGAAGAGTCCCCCAGACTGACCCGGGCTGGGATGGAGGCCCCACCAGCCCGAAGGTTACCCAAGTCCCATTGGAAACTGACCGCCTTGCGAGGTTGGGTGGGCGTGACTGTCTGTCCAGCTGGCTCCGTCGCATGTCCTGCAGCCCTGAGCTGAGTATTGCCATCATCACCAGCGGCCAGTGTCTCAGAGAAGGGGTCCCTGTGCGTGTCATGCAGCAGAGACTGAGTTAGGGGTTGAGCGCAGGCGAGACCTTCGCTGCAGGAACCTGCCCATGTCCGGTCTCACTCTGCCCCTTGGGGCAGCCACCGGAACCTACACTCGTCACTTCTCCAACAGGGGGAACATGTCTCCTAGCCCCGTGTTGTCCCAGAAAACCAGCCGAGGGACCAGGCTGATCCCTGAGTCGAGCCTCAGGCCCACAGGGAAAAAGGTCGTCACACATGCAAGAACTACTTCCAGACGAGTGTATCTTTTTTCCCCCAAATGACAAAAATTAGGAAGTTACTTCACAAACTGGAACGGGCAGTTTCCCCTGGGTACTCTTTAAACAGGAGGAGATCAGGAAGAACCAGGGCGAGCTTTCCATATGTTCCCAGATTCTCATGTATCAATAAATACCCTTGTACATACACATAGACACATTGTAGCACAGTCACGGAGGGAGAACGTGGTGCATGTGTAGAGCTCCAGGAAGGCCTGGTTAAAGAAATACCAAAGCTTGTTTATTCCTCGGCATGAACCCAAGCCCCAGGGGAACTGAAATGAGGAGCGTGGCCCTCCGGCCCCAGACGCCGCGTGGAGCGCAGGGGCCTGTGCTCACTCAGAGCCGCAGGTGCGACTGGGAGCCCGGAGCGCTGCCGTCTGGAGTCCAGCCCACGGTCCCGGTCGCCGTTCGGCTGCGCCCTTGCATCCCCCACAGGGGCCTTCAGGGGCGTGCCCGCGCACCCTGGCGGCCCCTGCCGTCTTTGCTCGTCATTGTAACCTTGTATAAAACCTGCATGAGTGGGCCTCGCACTTGTAGACAGGGCGCGTTGGGCAGGCGGCGGAACGCGGAAGCCTTAGGCTGCGCTGCGGCCGCGGCGGTGCGTCCGCGCCAGGAACACTGTGACGCTCGGGGCGCTGCCTGAATGCCTTTTCGCGTCGTGGTTTGTACTCTGCAATCCTATGGGAAAGTGTGATTTGTAATTTCAATACATATTTTGAATGTATTGTGTCTTATGTAGTGTGTCCCCCCTTTGGAAGGGATTTCTTTTTAAAGATATTTTGGCTGGAATACAGGCTACTTTTGTAAATTTCTGTCTGGCTGCATCTTTTGTTCGGGTGGGGAGACCGCAGAAGGGGCAGGTGCAGTTGGAGGCGGAAGGAGACGGGGGGGGGGGGCGGAGCCTTAGAATCTGTGGGCGGCTGGGGCGGGGTGTCCCCAGCTGGGAAGGCAGCGCCCGCATCCCGGGGTCCCCCCTCCCAGGGGCGTTCACCCGAGGGAGCTGGGTCCTGGGGAAGTCCGCACCCTCGCGCCTGCCTCGTCTTCACTTCACTGCGCCAGCTTCGGACGGTGCGTCAGCTTCGGGGGGCTCTGCGTCCCATCTCCTCTCCCGCCCCCTCCCCATGCCAACCCCAGGGCTTGAACACCCCTCCCAGTCCACAGGGTTCCGTGAGTGTTCTTTTTCTGCTGGTCAGGCAGTGTATGAAACACGAATGCTTCTCGTTGGGTGGGAGAAATAACAGGGACTCTAGGATTACAGTGGGTGACCTCCACTTCCGTTAGCTCTGGGACGAACACATCTTCGTTCACAGGAACCGCAGGCCAGGAGAAGGTTAGGTTCTGAAGCCCAGCGATCAGCCTCGGTCCTGTGGCTCAGTTGGCTGGGGCATCGTTTCAAGCACCCAAAAGTTTGTGGGTTCAATTCCCAGTCAGGGCACATGACTAGGCTGTGGGTTTGATTCCTGGTTGGGGCGTGTTGGGAAGCAACCCGTATTGCTATCATCTATCTATCTATCTATCTATCTATCTATCTATCTATCTATCTATCTATCTATCTTTCTATCTATCTATCTTTCTATCTATCTATCTATTTCTATCTCTGAGACAGAGAGGAGACGAGACAGGTGAAGCCTGGGGTGGGGGGCGGTGCGGGGACCAGGGCGGGTCTGGGATGTCATCCAGCCCCACATTCAGAGAACTGAAGTTGCTGTGTAGGGTATGGGAGCCACCGGGCGTTCAGGGTGGGCAGTAGCAGTTAAGTTGTCTGCTGCAGAAAGACTTCTCGGTCCCTGGGTCCCTGGGTCCCTGAGTCCCTGGGTCCCTGGGTCCCTGGGTCCCTGGGTCCCTGGGTCCCTGGGTCCCTGGGTCCCTGGGTCGGAGCAGACAAGCCTGACTGCAGGTTTGCTGGGGTTGAAGGGCCTGGAGCTGTGGACCCAGGACCTGGTGGAAGCCAGCCAGGGTGCAATGCCTGAGGATGGCCAGCAGGTGGCACCCCAACACTGCATTTATCTGGTTTCTGGCCAGGGCTCGTTGGTTCCTATTTTTTACGTTGGTGTTTTCTTTTATTGTTCATACTGCTTGGAGTTTTGTGTCTGCCTCCTGCCCTCTCACCCTGCACCCAACATCATTCAGAGTACATTGCCCCTGAGATGAATCAGAATGAGGCGGAGCTGCAAGCAAAAGTTTCCCAAGCGCTCAGTCTCAGAAGGGACCTGGCTGCGTGTGGGGCAGCATGGCACCCATTTTGCACCTGCGTGCTGGTGGGGGGACAGCCCTCTGTGGCCACCGCCCGCCCTGGGCCATGCAGTCATCACTGCTGGCACCCGGGAGCTCGGGCACAGGGAATTCAGGCTCGGGCAGCTAGAGGCGGACCCAGGGCCCCTCCACCACGTGCCCCTCCACTTCCTCAGGTGCCCCGGGCGGACGCACCTGCTCCGGGTGACACAGTACCAGCCTTCCCCGGAGCAGTCCTTGGGATGTTCCACGCTGGCTCTAAGGACAAGAGACTTGCCCCTCAGACAGTGGTTTCTCCTCGCAGTGGGAGAAGGGCTGCCCTGGGCACCACTCGAGTGGGGCTCCGGCCCCCGTGTGGCCACCCGCCCCAGCCGCCAGGCACTCTGGTCCTTCCAGGGGCCCTGAGCACCATGCTGCACTCCCATCCTCACTGCCCCTGAGGGACACCCGGCACAATACTCTGGATGTGGCAGGTCCCCGCTGTCCATCCCTAAGACACGGATGAGAGGATGAATCCACCGTGTTCTGTTAGTAACATAGTGACCACAGGGGATAGCGTTCCATCTGAGGTCTGACTTCACGGGCAGCCCCACAACTTTTGTAACTACTTTCATAGTTATAGTGCTACTTTTACAACTCAGCACATCTGCAGACCGACGTTCTAGGTAGATGTAATGTTTGTTCTCTAAACGTTAACTTCTTATTTACTGATTTTTGAGAGGGAAAGGGAGAGAAAGCGAGAAACACGGATTTGTGGCTTCACTTATGTTGATGCATCTGTGGACAGCTTCTTGACTGTGCCCCAGCCAGAGATGGACCCTGGGACCTGGGTGTGTGGGGACGATACTCTGACCCGCTGAACCACCCAGCCAGGGCTCAGTACAGGTGCTGCTGGGTCCTAAAATTCCACAGGTGAGCAGAGTTCCTCGAGATGCATCGCTTGCCCGGGTCACGCAGCTCGTGAGAGGCAGCGGCATGCAGGTGTGACTGGCTTCAGCCCTGGTGCTCTGGGCCTCTGACCCCAGTGGCCTGAGCGCCCTAAATCAGTCCCAGCGTCTGGAGGTCAGCAAGGGGTTGGCTCCTTTTTGACGGTCAGTGTGGTGGGCTGTGTATTCATTCCCCTGTGGGCTGCAGGCAGCCTCTGGCGCTGTGCGGGTGGGCGTGCAGGCGAGTGCTGGCGGGCACGTGGCAGGACACGCTCCGGACTGCGGTGACCTCCTTCCGTCCCTATGCTCTCAGCCTCCAGCTCGCTCTTCCTTCTGCCCGGGTCTGGAGTCCACTCGGATTTCGCCATCAGTCAAAGGCCCAGGAGGAGCTGGGGCGGGGGCTGCCGCTGCCTGGCTGCCCAGGACGGGGTGGGGCTCGGGGTCCAGCTGTCTGTCTGGGTGTCTCTGCAGCCCTTCTGTGCCCAGCCTCTCCCCCTGCTCCTGCTTCTGGCCAGAAGGGGGCGCCTTCATTATCTGGGATTTTCTGTCTCCCTACCAAACGACTGACTTTTGAACACAGTAGTGGTTAATTTTTTTGTTTGGACACAGAGCAAACACTGAGCCCCCGCCAGGTGCCAGTTACCACGCCAGGCATCACCCGGCACGTGGGCAGTTTCAGGGCTGGGTCGGGCAAGGTCAGCGCGCCCTGTACCTTGGAGGCCGAGTTCACTTTGTGGGGGGCACGGCCCCTGTGAAAGGTGTGGGGCCCAAAGGTGCCCAGCAACCCTGGAAAGAGGGCCCCTGAACCAAATTTCTCTCTCTCTCTTTATTCTCATTTCTTTCCTCGTCATGTTCCTTGTCTTCTCTCAAATCTCTGATAACAGACGCTTTCATTTACAAACCTCCCAACTGGGTTTCCTGTCTCTGTGCTTGAGCATTTAATCAAGACCCTTTAATTCAGCTCGTCTTGGTGCGGGCCACTTCTTTTTTAGCGGCAGGCGCAGAATTTGATCTGGTGGAGGCAGATTGTTGCATTATTAAAATGAACAGTTCACACCAACCCAAGGAAGTCGGCGCTCAGAATAGCGGAGCCCGAGCCGGCGGAGATTTGGAACGGTTTCGATAACCGAACAGGAGGGCCGCCTTGAGACGTGCAGCTAAAGGTTGTCCAAGATTCCCATCTTTTAAAGATTTGCAGGCAGGCTCCAAACCTGCTTAAAATAAGGGGCTTCTGTCTGAAATGCCAATGGCACTTGTCCTATGTATAGACAGTGCTTATGTGACGAATGTCATCTGAAGGAGGGCCAGCACTACCCGCCTGGCCCTTCTCTTTCCCAGCTGTGGAGGGAGCTTGCAAAAACATTCACATCTCTGGCGACGCGTGAACAAAACAGGGGAAGGAAGCCCAGCACATGGGCCACCTATTCTGTGCCTGGCGCAGTGCCAGGCACTTCTACCTGCAGAGACCTCCCTTTGGGCCACGATGGTGACAGGCAGGTGGCTTTATTACCATCTTCCAATGGCGGAGTCGGGGCTCGGAGGCTGGAAGGTCCAGATCGGACCACCAGCGTGGAGCGGGGAAAGCAGAGCCTGTGCCAGGGCTGCCTCGGGCCCGCGGCTGCGTCCCCAGAATCCCTGACAGTCACTACATCACAGAGTCCCCCGTCCCCCGCGGCCACACCGAGACCAGACGCCGCTGCCTCCCAGCGCGCAGAGGGTCAGCTCGCAGCCTCGGAAGTGCCAAGATCCCCATCTGCTCCTCTGTCTGAAATGGGGATATTTTGCTCTTTTTAAATTTTATTTTCCCAAATTTCGATGTGGTCTCTCAGCAGGTGTGCTGCAGCCTTCGGTTGCGATGCCAGGAAGGAGGAAGATGTGTTAAGTGATGTGGGGGGCAGTCGGGGGGGTGACAGTGAACAGGGAGCGACATGGGAACCGGGAGACAGGAACCAAGGCCCGCTGTCCTGTCCAGCCCGGGTGTGAGGGCGAGCGGCAGCGCCTCCCTGAGGGACCCGGTGGAACCAGGAAGCCTCTCCCCGGGGGGCGGAGGGGGACGGACGGCCCCGGAGACGTGCCAGAAACGCACGGAGGAGCCTGCCCGAAGCTGGAGCTGCTGCCGCGCCGGGCCCGGCTGCTGCGTCTCAGGGACACTCATATTTACGCGCGCCGGCCTGGTGCTGCCCACACCTGCCACCAGCAAAGTCCGCACGTCGGTGGGTGGGTGGGTTCACATCCACGTGCAGGGCGGCCACCCTCCAAGGGAAGAACGTGGGGACAGGGTTTCAGAGAGTCATCAAATGGTTGCTTGACACCAGAGCGTGGCTGCCGGAGGGGGTCAGGGTGACGCGTGGGTGCGGGGCCAGGAAACACACAGCCACCCCGTGGGAGCTGCTGGCGGACCCCCCGAGTCCCGCTGGAGCTGGTGCCCGGGCTGCAGTGGGTCTGTGGACGGCGCCTCAGAGCCGGGGGAGGGCACGCAGCCTCCGCGTCACTGTCAGGGGGCCGGGCGCTGTTCTGAACTGCGCATGACCACCCGGCCTGACCTCTCCTTTTCCAGCTGGGGAAAGGGGAGACCAAGGAAGTCACCTTAGCATCTGCCTTTGAAACTGTCCTTGTTTAGCTCTTTTGCATTAATTCAAGTGCTTCAGGT